ATTAATTTAATTATTAATTTGTCCCGGGGAAACTTTCAGATACGAATTTCTTCGCGTACTACACCTTGAGATAATATTCCTCGCTGTAAGCCCGTCGCCAATTTCCGGCGAATCGATCTATTACTCGACAAAATGATCAATCTTCTTCACGGTTCACGACGCGGACGACTTGTGCGCGATTGGCGAACGCCTTCGGATAATGGCGGAGGAGAACAGGCCAAGGGTTGAAAATGTCGAAGTTCGTCTTCGTCTTTGACTGTGCAAAGTTTACATATACATACATTGCACGTGGAGAAGGAGACGTAACGTAAAATCAAAGACTTTCGAAACAATTAACTCTTTGCACTCGACTGTCCCTTCTGAGGGGACATTTTACTTAAATCTAGTCAACAGCTCAGACTTTTTATAATTTGCCGATAACTATAACGGACGTATATATTTGTTGTTGTGTGATACAATATAATATCTGAACAGACGCCTAGAACGAAAACTATAATAACGACGTGAGAAGAACAAAAGAATTTCAGAAGAAATTTCTGAAGGCAGTCCTCAATAATTCACATAAACTAGACTTTTCGTTGCTTCTTACGAAAGTTTAAAAGATAATGGAGGATATTAGTTTTTCAAAGACTGAAATTATATATCACTAACTCTTGTATATTATACTTGTTTTGGCAAACCCGCAATGCTTTGAATTTAAACGACATGACATATTACAAAGATATAATCAAATTTCGTGTTAAATACCATTTGAGTGATTATTTCCAATGTTACATCATTTGATTTACGAAGTGATGCTTCCTAAATAAGTTGCTGGTAGATGACAAAAAAACCCCGACTTTGTCGAGGGCAAAGGATTAATTTTTGGTGAATTAAAGATTTACTCTTTTCCTGTTTCTTTATTAACTGTAAACGAATAACGAAAACTTGTTAAATCTCTCGACTAATAACAGTTTGAAACAACACTCGTAGCCTAGTGGAATAGACATGATCGATCGGTGATGTACAAGATAGACGAGCTACAAGATAGATCTCTCATCTTGCGAGATTTCACGTAATGTATTCTGAATATACAGGATTTCAGTGTAGAAATCCAAACTGCTACAAAGTTGATAAAGTCGAGAATGAAGAATAATTCTTTTCGATTAGAATTGACGCGGAATATTCCTGAACGTAGAATGTTCATACTTCTGTGGAACTTCAAAGTTACTTAAGCATACTTCGAGTTTTAACATTGTTAAAAAGAATTAAATTCACAATTTCTGAAACTAATCTAGGCCAACAGTTTCATCGATATTTCGTACCAAAGACAATCTAAATTATAACCAGAAATGAAGGAATAATGCTACCGACACTTTTGTTCGTAGTTTCGCGTCTTACAACAAGGGAAATTCAATTCGTTGTACAAAATATGGAATAAAAATCTGGACGCGCCCGAGTCAGCTTTGTTGTACCAGTTCAAGGTACAAGTTCGAGTATAGGATCCAGTAATCAAACGCTATCCCTAACAGAGCAGGAGGGATCTTCAGAACCATTGAACCAGATTACGAAGGGACGTTAAACTATATGGGATCCGTCCTTGCCCGACTAGGTACTCAGTCTGTCGAATACCGGTCGGAGCTTCCAGAACTACAGTAGTGACTCCAACGTGCTTAAAAAATGGGAATCGAAAAGCAGATATCGGTATACAGAATTCGGTAAAGCAGATATCTGTTTTATAATTAATTGAAATTAAAGCAATTATAATTAAAACGCGTTGAATGTTACAACTGTTATATACTAAATACCACTTTATGACAAGGATAATTTTATCGTAAGTCAAAAATCTGATTGACCAGTGTTACACAGTTAACCGGCCTGGTTCGTTCGAATTTAATTTTACAATAATGACTTCTACTTCCACCATTCTTTTATCATCCTAGCTTCTAGAGTTTCATCTTATCGTAGAAGCAACACTAGGTTGCATCCCAGGTAAGTATCCTTCTTTCAAAATTTTAACTTGCAACTACGTTTACGTACTATCGTCTCCACCTGCTGTGCACTTTGCCTAAAGGGTTGCCTTCGAGCAACATGGCTCGGTTTCGTACTGTTTCTCTGTGCTTCGTGCTGGTTGGCGTTCATTTTGGTAACGAAACTTTAATGGCCTAGCACACACCAGGCTCACACGTGTTACGAGAGAGTTTTACAGATAGGGCGATTTCACCGACGCCGCAATTAATATTTAAATATTAACGACTGCCGCAGCGGGCTATTAACTCGCGCGATCGTGGCACAAAATCGCATAATTAATTTCTCGGGGCGAGATCCTTGGCGAAGTATAATGTTGTTTGCATGTGCAGCGGTGCCCACGCCTCGTTTCACGAGCGATCGAGATCGATCGAATTATGATCGTGTCCATTGTAACTCGATCAAATGACCATCTCTTGATTTCGCTGTATGCACGTACAACACACAATGTGGTATTGTGGACGGTGTACAAAATATTGAACGAGTCAGCGAACCAGTGTTCATGTTTTCGTCAGTGTTATACAGAGTGTGGTACCGGAAATCGATTGCCAGCGAAATGACCCGCGAAACATAACCTATCTCACGAAATTATTGTACGTAACCACCAGTCGCGAAACCAGCGAGTTTCTGGACTGATTTCTCCCGAGTCTTTAGTGGTGGTTGTTATTTTTTTAACCCCTTGCGCCGGCAACTAGTTCGCGGACCATAACGAGTGACCGGTACAAAAATTCGTCGCTTTCTTTTCCTTTCGAACTCGTTGGTATGATGTCACTGGATAGAAATTATTAAGAAGTAATAAACTTATCATTCGTTTTGCTTGGGTAACATTTAAACATACTTAAAACTGAGAAAATATTGCAAAATATTGGGACGAAAATTTCTCGACGTGCGTGGCACGTCATTCCAGCGCAAGAGATTAAAGAGAAGTTTACAGTGGGAAAAATAGTTCGAAACCTTTTGTCCGACAAATAGAGACTCAAAAATAATATTTATGCAGATTTCAAATGTGTAATACACAAGATGTAATGCTACATGTACCTCCGCTCAGAAATCTTAAGATAAAAATAGTGCAATAAATATGAGTTATAAATTGTATATAATAAGCACAGTATTTACAATAAATATGAAACATACTTTGTGCAATAATATTCTGTTAAATATATTAATACATTGTATTATGAAATATGTATACACGATAAGTACTGAATGTTAAAAACGAAGTTTTTGAACCTGGCTGCAAGACACGAAATACTCGAAGTCCTGTGCGTTTCTTGAGTCTCAACTTCAACTTGTAAATGTATTTCCTTGTACTTTGACCAATGAAATACGTATGTTTTTATGTTTAAAATCACATTAAAAAAAAAGAAAACAATCTCTCGTAATTGTAATCTTCAATGATAGATACTTAATAACACGAAAGAAAAATTAACGTAGCTGGTGTTCTTCGAAATGATCGACGAAGTAACCGTGTACACGATGGAAGAACGCAGGCGGAGAAAGTGGCGAGTGAAAACTGTTACGCCGTTGGGTAACCGTTCCATCAGCTCGCCGTGCACCGGTATAATGTAATAAAGAAACGAAGCCAACGCGCAAAGTTGCGTAAAAACGTTATTTTACGATATTTTACATGGTTAATTTCGCACGGCCGGAAGATAATTGGTACGAGGAATTGGTATCGCCGGAAAGTGGAATTTCTCAGTTGGAGGTGTTTATTAGCAACTCGACGAGAAGAAAGAAGAAAGGGGAGGGGGGGGGGGAGGGGGAGGTCGACGAAGTCGCAGTTAATAAGCTTGTTAGCAACGTTGGCGAAAGACGCGTGCATCGCGATAGTTAGCTTTATACATGCATAGTCAATGGATGCGTTGGCATAAAGAGAGCCATTCTCCACGTCCGTCCCGTCCCGTCTCGTTCCTCTGTTCCTCCGGCAACTTTGATGAATAGTTAGCCGCAAATGGACGACGCGTGCACGGCACTTGGCGATATTTCGAGACACACGACCCGACACGGGGTGAAAAGGAGACGCGAATGTCAACGGGGAACGTGTGTAATGGCTGGACAGTTTCTGAGGAAACTTTTCGACCAACTTCTCTCACGCTGAAACTGGGACAGCTTGTTCCTTTATCTTAAAAAGTAACGGCCAAAGACCACACATTTCGTGGAAACCGCGAAGTCTGTTGTTGTTCGTTCGTTGCACTTTCATGTCGCTTGGTATGAAAGATGAGAGGAGAGTCCTGACTCGAGGATACAAGTCGTTTGAAAATAGATGATGAAATGTTTGTTTTATCAGAAATAATAATTCAGTTGTTGTATTAATTTAATTGAACAAAATGTTTGCTACAATTATGCTGATCCGACTTTTCTACTGAATGTGGACGCTCGGTTCATGTGACAATGTTTCGTAACCATAAACGACACAAAAGAATATTGGAAGGTACGAGGATTAGATTGCGTAATTAGTTTTCATAATATTTAACACTAGAACACTACCGACGTGGTCAGAATGACTAATTCTGACAATTTTTATTAGATTATGTTTATTTTATTATATGCAAGAGCGGGCTAACTGGCGGCCCACGGACCCTTGCCCCTACTTTCCTGATCGCTAGCGCTATCCATCCCCTCCACTGCATCAGTCGGAGAGTGGGGCTCATGCTTGGCGAGGAAATTTCAATGTAGGACATGTAAAATAGTATATTTTTAGAGATTTAAATGATTTTTTCTGAAATAAAAAAATATCAAAATGAATTTTTGTAAGATCAAACGGTTTACAAAACACATAAATAAAAGTTTGTGCATTATATTGTATTTTACAGTTTTTCTGTCTTTTTTCACTTTAATATCTCTGACGAAAACTCTATGCTTTGGTCCTTGGCGGTTCTGGCGTTAAGATCAGGCTTCTACACTGGTCGTTGCGACTTTAATTGCATTGACATTCGAATTAACGATATTAGCGACACGTACCGAGTAAACTGAAAAGTACCATTCTGTTACAGCTGGAGCCGCTTCTGAGGAAACTAACCAAAGGTCCAGTTCTGCACACAATCGCCACTCTCTCACGAAGGGTAAGCAGTCAGTGTTTGACGAATCACCACGTAATACAGAAAGAATCATGACACGAGCGTTGTCCGATCGATCGAAACCGTCGCCATGCTACGTCGCTTTTCTCCTTTTTCTTTGTCGTATCCACTTGCACATCCACCGGATATTACGAGAATTATGCGCACATCATCACCACCATGCATGGCCGTACGTATTTATACACGTGTACCGCGAGAGATCACGTTTATGATCACGTATGGCGAATGGTGTCATTTCGTTTCCCCTTCCCTCTTTTTGTCGCGGAAGCTTCTGGCAAATGTTGCTATTGTAACGCTATTGCCGCGCGCAACAACCACGGACGGACAGTCTTTCTCGTTGATCAGTGGCTGTAAATTCGCGAAACAAAAGCCGCCGTATTTCGTACCGAGTACAAAGGAAACAAGCATGAAGCTTACCGTCGTCGTCGTTTCTCATTTAAAACCAAGAATAAAGGGACACCGGCAGATATATTTGCTTGAGCGATCGTTGTGAAATACGATTTATCCTTGGTTTCCCCTCGAACGACCGAGATTAACGAATCCAGTCGTTTCTCAAGCTGGCTGTCCGTCTCATCTTCGAATCGGAGCGTGTCCGACGCGAACGCGCGTGCAATTCGAACGCAGTCGGACGAGAGAAACAAATGGAAATTTCGACGCGCGACGAGTATTGTGTCGATGGGAAACATCGATAACGATGGGAAACGATCGCTTTCCGCATTGTGAAAAATGGAAAGCGACGTGTGGCGCTCGTGAAATCGAATAAAGAGAGAGAAAGAAAAAAAAAATCATCGTAACTCGTGTAGGTACCACCGATCCACGCGCATCTGGCCGACGCCAGATAACGAACAACGCAATATCTGCGCACACTGTAAAACGATAAACGGATTCAATAACGTTTTAATCCCGATCGATTGATCCGCACCGCAGATCTCAGCGCTGCGCGCGGTTAAGCCAAAAATTTAATCAACTGTGAGAGAAACGCCGGTGAAATTGATAATAACGGAGGCATTTGTCTGAAAGAACGGCGAAAAATCGGTGATCGCTCAGGCCTGAAAAAATTCGCTTTTCACCGAGGCGAGCCTTGAGAGGTTCGTTCCAAATGTTTGCTCGCACGTGCTTCCGATTTTCAGCGATGGATCGCGATAGAAAGCGATTCCTAATCAAAACGCGTTTGCAAAATGGAAACGCGAACGCAGCGCGAAAAAGCGACTCTTTGTACGTTAAATACTACAGAGGGATTAATGTTAACGAGCTCGAGCACTTGTTTGTTACGCGTATATCGGGTATCTCGTGATTTTGTCAGCGCGTTCAGAATGTTATTCCGAGTGAAAAACGTTACACGCGCGATCTTTGCCTTCGTTCTCGAAATGTGGGAAACGTGGCGATAGTAGCTGCGGCAATCAAACGTATTTAAACTACTTAATTTTTGCTCGATTTACGTGACATTTACAAATACGTATCCCCACTGGCAGCGTCCATTGAATATCGACAGAGTCATTTATAATGCTAATTTTCAACTATTCACGTGTACGATCCCCATGTAAATACGCTCTTGATTTAATACAAAATAATCAACGGGTGGCAACGTGTCAGTGTTAATCCTGATCCAGCAAAATGCTCTAATTAGTGAACAAGTGACTAATTGCAAGTAAATTTAATTTTGGATATTTTTAAAAATCCCGACGCGCGATGTTGTTGCCACCAGCAAGTTCTGCGTTTCGAAGAAAGAGAAATAAATATCTGAGATTAAATGGAATTTCACACAATTTCAAATGAACAATCGAACCGTGAGTCTGAGTAACTTTTTACCTAAAATAACATTCTGGACTTGTTACATACCATAATCTGTACACGTTATCGCAGAGAATACAAATTTCATCCTCTGACTGTACAGGGTGAAAAGAGAAGTACATGTAAAGGATCTGCCACAAATTTGACCTTGATCTTGATTTTTTTTTTCATTGTATTCTATTCATCACGAAGATAAAAATTTCCAAGGCTGCTAACCTAATATTTCTCTTGAAAAATGGCAAAAAAGATTCTTGATCATTTAACACTGCAAACGTTCTAACAGCGACTTAATGATTGACTGAATTATATCCGTTTGACGTAGATGTAATCGGTATTTTGAATAATGTTAATAGTTACGCTGATGCTGCAATTATGATAAATCAAATGTCAGTGAAACCCAATCCAGAACTATAAAGTCGCTGTTAGCACGCGCACATCCGCGATATTAAATGATTAAGAAACTTTCTTGCCATTTTCAAAGAGAACGTTCCTTTTACCTTCGTGATGCGTAGAAACAATGCAAAATTGAAAAAAAAAAAATTGACCTTGATGTTCAACTTTTCTCTCCACCCTGTACATAACACGCGGCCTACAGCGGCAATATTTCTATGAACATGAGATACAGGTGGAACGGGAAAAATTAGAGTGTTCGTTCGTTGGTAACGTAATTAGAGAAGCGCTGGAGGAATATCCAAAGGAATGTTTAAGCACAAGGACAATTATCAAAGCTCGAGGCACAGAAACAGAAACAAAGTCGCACGGTATCGTCACACGCGCCACTGAGCCTCGTCCGCTCGTTAAATATTAGTAGAACACTCTCTGCCGGCACTAGGATGAGAAACCAGGACAATTTCGATCGTCAGACTAACCGCCATGCCTCCATTAAAGTGGAATACAAGCCACACTCGACGCGTTGCGTTTCAACTTGCGTGTACATACTTCCGTATGTACGTGCTTACGGCTGGACGAAGCTGAGTTCGACAAATTGTGCTCGGGCCGATTGATGACTTTCTGCCTCAAGGCCGTTGCTACTGCCGATTTTATATTCGCGCGCGTGTTTCTCGGTCGTTTCCGTTTCTACGGAACGAACGTTCGTCGCAAAGAAGGAAAGTTAAACATTCGGGCCGTTGAATTGAATTTGAACGACAAACGGGTGAAAAGCGCGGAGAATACAAGATTCCCGAGGGCGTATATAAATTAATAATTCCACTCTTGGACTTCTCGAATTAACTAGTATCTATTTAATATATAATATAATTGCGACAGTTTCCTTTGTGCCATACTTGCACGTAATTCCCACAAATGAATTCTGTTTAAAAGGACGAGGAATTAATTTGCACACGTAACGAAACGAAACGAAACGAAACGAAACGAAACGAAATCGATCGTTTGTTCGAGTACATCCTTTGCAAAGGCAAAGAAACGGATGCTTTTTGGTATTATACGGTTGCTCGAGGAGCAGCGTGGAACATGATACCGACGGGACAGAAAAGGTGGGGAGTAGCTGAAGGAGCAAGGATAGCGGAGAGAAAGGGTGGTTAAAGTGAAGGAGAGGCAGTCGACTCGAGAAGTGCCGCGAGGACAGAAAAATAGTAAGAACGATGCGCCAAGGTAGATGGCTAGAACAGATTCCTATTGTTTTCCGACCCACTTCCTAACAGCGGAAGATTAACAGCGTGTCCCTCGCCACTGCATCTACTGACAGATTTTCCAACGTTACAGCCGGCGAGGATACTTTTGCGACCTTGCCAGCGCGGAAATAGCTACGTGTTGACCTAAAGAGACGCGCGCGAGAGCTTCCAGCTCCCGATACGACCGAATTATCGGTTTGTATATCATCGATATATATCAACGTTTACACGCGCCACGGTCACAGCCTCGCGATCAAAACAATACCAAATTTTGGAATTTACGGCGTACACGTACATAGGTTCGTTCGAGTCGAGCGGCCATTGTAACTGGAAATAATTTTGGCGAAAGTACATGTTCCGATTGGAACCGGCAGAGGGACCTGGAGGGGAAAAGGCTTTTGTCTGGACGCGTGGATTTTCCACCGTCTGAAGATGCACGATAACACCCGCTACGTTGTTTCATGCAGCATCGCGTTGCATTGTAATGCAGCGATTCAGAGAGGCGGATTCCTATTGGCAACAACAATAGGCTGTTACACGGGCGCGTTCAATTGGCAACGCGCTCTTTGTCGTTTCTTTCTTCTCGCTGGGGAAGAAAATACCGTGTCTCTCTCCATCCCTATCTTTCTGTCGTGCGGTTAAAGAACACTGCGCGCCTTTTTATTTGTACTCTTTGAAATTGCTTCTTCCCCAACGTCACGATTAGCAGTCTCGTCGAGTTCCAGAAAAATAAATCTGCGACAATTCAAAGAACTAGTTTAGTAGGATTGCCAGACACTGTAAATCTCTGAATTACAAAAGTAATTAACTATCGACTGATCAGAAAGAATTGTCGAGCTCGGAGGTTCGCGTAGAGACCTCTCTAATGATCCTTTAACGACTGACAAGTCGGGTCAATCAAAATTTACAAAGTATGGTGACTAATTAGGCTTCGCTCTAGATCCAACGGATTGAAGACACAAATTTTTGAAGGTTAAATGTTGACTGTCTTTTTATTTTTTGGATTACACTCTTACACAAATCTCTATGACATTTTGCCGAGGAATTTTGGGAAATAGTGGGACTTGATAGTACTTGGTCATAGGGCGTGTGACATGGTCGTAGCAGAGAGCCGCAGAGAGCAGGCCAGTTGTACAGTTTATTTAAGGGGACTACGTTTACCCTTGGCGCATCGATCATACTCGGGATTATTCCACTCTCGACCCACTTTCGCTTAAGCTCGTACTTCACAAAGATTCATCCCTCTACCCCTCCGGTTCGTTGCGAGCTGATAAGGGATTTTAATTTCTGATCGAGAATCGAGGGCCAGGAATCCAAGAGGAGAAGAAGATCAGAGAAGTTGGACGTCTCATCGGGAACTCTCATCCAACTTCGAAATCGCCGATAAAATAACGAAACGGCCGCCTGGGCGAAGAGAAAGGTCACCTCTCGATCGAGTAATAAGTTTGCAATCGCAGATTGCGGGCTGCCTGGTATCCATTGAACGATTGAAAGCTTCCGGCGGAGCCTCTAAATCAGCAGCGAAACGTTCTCCCGCGGAGATAAGGAGAGAGAACGAACGCTCTTCAGAAATGGTTGGAAACTGTCGCGTGGATGACGGAAGTTCCCCGGTCGACAATTGGGTTTCTTCGCAGCGAAATTTCAATTCGAACACGGCCTACGGAACCGGATGAAAAGAGGCTGGATTTCCATTGTTTTCCGACTCACTTCCAGGCGACGGAAGATTAACAGTGCCAACGTGTATGTGTGTGTATGTGTGTATGTGTGGATATCCACCGCCGAGGGCCTCTCGACGTTTTTCGACCGTTTTCGCGGCAAGCGGGACCCATTGTAGCGCGAGACCACTGTAATTTAAAATCATCGTCGAAAGTTTTTTTCGCTATACTTTCGCCTCTTCTCTCCTTTTCTCTTTCACTCTCTCTTCCTCTTTTTTTCGTTTAATCACCTTGAAGCCGAGATCTAGAGTGCCCGTTCTCATTTACAGACGCGAATTTCGAATTTCTGCTTAGAAGCACGATGCAAACATCCGCAATTATCGGTTCGTGCAACGCGCGATCCAGACCACACTCTATCCTTTCCATGAAAAGTAGAGCATTGGTATTAATTACTAGTCACGTGCTTCGTGCGTGTCCTTTCAATGTTTCGTTCCTCCATTTTTTTTCTTTTTCATTTTTCCTTCTTTTTCTCCTCTCCGTAATCCGCTGACACGCGTCCCGTCGATAACCCTCACCTTCCCGAAGACCGCGTCTGACAGAACTTCATATCCGTAACGTTATCGGCAACTTCGAAACGCTTTCACCCTGTTTCCCCTTTCAGCTCACCCCGCGCGCATTTCCCACACT